AATGTCCCGAAACTTTTCTCTAGAAAAATACGAACTCAAAGAAAGACGCAGCATCCCATCCTCCGAGAAGCTCTCTGAAATCCCATAGTTGATGCCCAGTTAACCGCTGATAGCTTCAATGATTTCCTGTCCAAAACGTTCATTGAAGACTTGACCACTCCGCTTCCGACCATCCAGCCATTGACCGGGGTAGTTCTAGAAACTATAACTTTCACTCTGTGGGATGTGACTGTTGCGATTCGGCGTTCTCGTCAATCTTGTAGTCCAGGCCCTGATGGTGTCCCAGTAAGCATTTTAAAAGCCGATGCAAACACGATCTTCCCATCCCTCTTATGCAAGATATTTAATCTTGCTATTGAAACTGAAACCTATCCTACTTTGTGTAAGGAATCACACATTCTGCTCATTCCTAAGCACGGCAAATCTACGTCATTTGATGACTTTCGGCCAATAAACACCCTCTCCGCAGTTTCGAAGATCTTAGAGACATTGATCAAAGATAAAATTATGTGTAACTTAACAGTGAATAACCTACTGAGTGCTGCTTAGCATGGATTCCTCAAAGCTCGATATTGTGACACCTGTCAGCTTTCTTTCTTTGACTATGTTCTCCAATCTAGGGACAATGGTTTTGCACTTTGCACTGCATATTTCGATTTCACTAAGGCTTTTGATCGTGTTGACCATGCTCTTCTTCTCTTGAAACTGTCCTCTTTCGGAATAGGTGGCAAACTTTTGAATTTTATATCCTCTTACCTGGTCACTCGTACACAACGCGTTAAGATTTCCAATACTATCTCCAACCCCACACGTGTGAAGAGTGGAGTCATTCAGGGAAGTGTACTCGGCCCGCTTTTATTTTGCCTTTTCATTAATGATGTACCCGATTTATTTCAGAATGGTAAGCCTTTCATATATGCCGATGATCTTAAAGTTGCATATCGATATAAGCCGGCAGATCGTGACATCGTGCTTGAGCTCCTAAAGGGCGACCTACAAGCTTTCGCCCAGCGGTGCCGCACATGGCGCCTTTCTCTTTCTTGGCATAAGTGCTCAGTCATGGTGGTTGGCGACGACCACCAACCTCAACTAAATTTTGAAGGACACTCCATAAATGTGCCCAGGGCTATAAAGGATCTGGGCATATCATACTCCAAGAGTCTCAATCTCTCGGAGCACTGTGCCTTGATAGTCTCCAAAGCACGTAGAACGACCGGGTTGATCCTCCGAAATTTTAAAACTAGGGACATTAGAATGCGCCTTTACAACATGTACGTTAGACCTGGTCTGGAATACTGTTCGTTTTTATTTAGCCTCATGCGTGCTACTGAGCGGAAGAAAATAGAATCCGTTCAACACTTTTTTACCAAGAGAATTTTAGCCGCGGCAACCGACATTTGTCTTACCAAGAACGTTGCCGGCTCACGGGCCTTGACACTTTATGGTTCCGTAGATTACAAAAGGGACTTTTTTTGCTATTCAAACTCTTATGTAATCACACATTTAACCCACTCACTTCTTTAAGACATCATATCCACCCACGACGTAACAGTCACCGTGAGGTCTTCTTATTTCTGCCTCTGGCACGTACTGGTAAATATCGTCGGTTCTATTCTGTAAATGCAATTGCTATTTGGAATAAACTGCCAATGAGTGTGAAAACTCTGCAAAATTATCCTTTATTTAAGAGAACTATTACTCGATTTTTGCATTCAGAAAAGCTTCCTCAAATTTTGGGTTCTGAATCCACTGATTGACTCTACCGTAGCGATGGCGTTTGTGGTCTCTGAACACTATGGCTGGTCTCACCAGCTGTTCCTCAACGCCTCTACTTTGACTATCCCCAACTTCATGAAAGGAATTGACGTCCGATAATCTCCGATACCGTGCAACCCCCTCCCCCTCTTCATGACGGTCGAAAATCTACCGCCAGCAGTTTTTTTCTCCTGAAATCTTCAAACCATAATAAACATCATCAACTATATTTTTATTTTTCAGGAGTTTTTTTTTCACTGCTGGTCGGATTTGTGTTTAATCGCTTCCCTTGACAATGCCTGAAAACTGGCATTTAATAAATTAAATTAAATAAATCATGCGCCGCTTCCTGCTGGCTGGGCTCGAGAGAAAGCCCGCATGGCATAGCGAAACGAGTGAGTTCCATAAGAACGATCGGTGAGCTTCCCTCTAGCATTGTGTCTACATCCCAACACTGCCTCCTTGGGCACCCCACGTGGCAGATGCGCCGGACCACCACGGTAGTCGTATCGGATTCTCGCAGGCGTTAACGGAATGTGCATCATTGCAAATGCCAACATCTGGAGGCGCGGCTGCAGGCCCAGTTTCCGCGGACGTCGTGCACATAGGGACCTCTGCCACCTCTCCACTGTTGGTGTTGGTTAAAAACCTGGTCACTTGCTGTATGGACCAGAAGGTATGGAGTGGAGCGCCAAGGTGCGGCCTCGACCGTGCCATCCACCTGCGCCCTCCCCGCCTCCGGTCTTTTTGACTTTGTCTTGACACGGGGTCCTGGAGAGAGTGCAGCAGGATTGTATTCGGAATGTCGGTTTCTTAGTTTGAGTCGATAAAAATGAACAGTAAATTCCACTGCCAAAGTTCCGTTGCCATCTAGAATGACCTACGTAGTATTAGAAAGCGCTTTCTTTCCGATATAGGGCCCAGACCAGTCCAGAACCAGCTTACTCGGTTGCATTTGTGGAAACGCGTGTCTTCTGAACCGTATGACATGACCTACAACGTATGGGTACCCGTGGGTCAGTCTGCCATGATTCTCCTTCTGTCGCCCCTGACACCCATGTAAATGCAGTCGCACCTCCCCATCTGCAATACGCATCTTCTTATGCAGTTCAACGACGCCAGAACTAACGGGTACCTGATGGGTTCCTAAAGGTACTGAAAGATTATCTGGTGTCCGCTGGTTTCAAGGTTGGAGATAAGTAGAAAATGTCATTTTGAAGTGTTTTTCTAAAAGACCTAAAGATTTTAGCCTTTTTTTATTGATTAAATTTCTTTAACCACAGGTCTATTCTTCTAGAGCCATCTGTCGTCATTTCCTTTTTGAGTCTTGCCAATCTCTGCCTGTTGACCACCAGTTGAATTCTGCAATTCTCATTTGGTTTATTCGATTGTTCTCTAACTGTGTAAATTTTTTACACCGTCAACCTCTTGCTGGAATTCGGACCTCTGATCTGTCAAACATTTGCATAATTGCAACTTGCGTTGGAGGAAGATGAAAGCAAAAGTAACAGGTCAGTGAAAGAACCCGGCCTCTGTACTTAAGCACGACTTAACTCAATCTAAGTCAGAAGGCATTTATATCCATTCGTCACGCATTATTACTGATAGGCGGCTTAAGCTGCCTGTGCTTTACAACTGCAAATAATTTATACTAAAGTATAGTACTATGCTCTCAATTTTGGGAAAATTGTCCGACGGGAACATCTCGATGTTTAATCTCAAGAATGCAAACGTCTTGACTCACTCGTTTGTTGTTGCGATAGAACCGCACCAATAGCATATTCACTGGCACCAAGGTCTAATACGAATATCTCGGCTTGCTCGCCAATGTCAGGGTAAGTGAGGACAGTGCTGGAACAGTGACAATCTTTTAAAACTTGAAAACTTGCTTTACATTCCGGTGTCCACTAAAATCTCACTCTCTTTTGTGTGAGTTTGTTTAAAGTGCGGCTCTGTAGGCATGGTCCTTAGTGAACTTCCTGCAGTATGAAGACAGGCTGGTAAAAATTATGACATCTGGTACGGTAGTTGGCGTTGACCAGTCCTGGTCTTCCCTAGCCTTATCCTTGTCCGTGTCGATTCCGGATGCAGATACAAAATGCAAATTTTGCAGGCTTAAAGATAATCCTCGTCCGCCTTAGGCTGTCGCATACTACTCTCATATTATGCAAATATCACCAAAGTCCTTCCCCGATGCGATGATGTCATCGAGGTACACCAAGCGGGCCTTCGGTATGAACCGCGCGAGGACGTGGCTCGTAAGTCACTGGGAGTTACTTGGTTCGTTAGCCAAACAAAAGGGAATTGTTTCAAACCCAGAGAGTGCCGAGAAGGTGGTTTTCTCACGATCAGATGGCCTTACCTCTACCTATCAATATGCAGCTGCGAGATCTTGAGTAAAGTATACCCCATTTACCGAAACAACATCTAGGGTTTCATCAATATAAGGTAATGGAATTAATTATTAGAAGTCACTTCGTTCAGTTGGCGATAGTCAATGCATAAACGCAAGGTCTCGTCCATTTTCGTGACTAGCACGACCATAGACGGCCATTGGGGATTAGAGGGCCTAATAATTTTTGATCAAGCATTTCGTCGATCATTGCTCTTAATTGTGTCTGGTAAAACATAGGCAATCCTCTACGTGGAATCTTAATTGGTGGGCTGCAACCGTTTATATTTCATGTTGAGCTATATCGGATCGTCTGAGTGAACGGCCGTTCCAACTGAAGATATCCTTAAACCCTTCCATTAAATAACGTGACTTTATCGAGCTATCCTTCTACACTGAGTGTGTTAATTGTGTTTCGACTACCAGGTGCCTCAGCTCTAAGGGGCGCTTCAGTACTGCCAGCAGGTAGGACATCAATATGAAAGTCTGAAGAACACCTAAATGCATGAGAAAAATCTTCGATTAAAACGTAGTCCCAGGCTATGTCAGAACAGACGACAAACTTATGATTGAGAACGACGTGACCTTATGGTATGTCAAATTCTACCACGCCTTTCATGTCGTAAGGTAGTGCCATTTACCGTTTTAGGCTCACTTTAGGCTTGATACCATATTTCACTGTAGCCTGGAACTGGTGAAAAGCTTTCTGTCAATTGAGGTAGCAGCCGACCCCCGAATAGACTAAGAAGGTTAACTTAGGATTTCCCATAGACGCATTTGTAGGATGATAATAGGGCACTGAACCTATAGTTGCAAAAAGCATCTCAGATAAAATCATGCATTTGCCAGTATTCTATTCTTCACATGCGGCGATATTATGAACAGCGGGGTTATACTGAGGGCGGGTCTGACGAGCACGCTGTTGCCTCCAGTTCCCGCGTCGAGGAGGAGACTGGGAAGGGTTCCATTGCCACCTTGCCGTTTGGGTCAAAACATCGGAGATTTGTCGTTGTCCCGTGGCAAAGACGTCGATCGAAGGGCCCTGTAGGATGACAGGTGTTGAGCAAAGTCCGAATGATGCCGAGAGAGACTGCGGTTCCGGCGGGTACGAGGTCTGGATGGCTTCTTCGCGGTGAGCGATGTCGGCGGCCACCTTGATACTGTTGAGTGGGTCTCGGACAAACTGGCGTCCGACCTCTGGGAGGGCGATGTCATCCACGACGTCCTCCAGTATCGTGGCGTCCAGCTCCGCGTAGGAGTTGTTGGGAAACGCTTGTCGGGCCAGAACACGTAGATGTCGTTGAAAGAAAATGGTCAGTTCCCCAGAGAGCTGTTGGTGATCCTTCAGGGGCACAGAAATTCTCTTCGCAGACGCTCGAACATCGTCGCAGAGGTGAACGAGGAAGTGAGGTTGGCTGTCCTGTCAACGGCATCAGCTCCGTTATCGAGGCGACTGAGGATGGCCACTGGTCGTGCCCATTCGTCAATGGTCTCCGGAGAGGTCTTCACACAGTCCTATCAGAGATCGTAATCATCATAAACTATCTACGTGTCTGGTTTGGGTGGACGACCTTCAGGTACTGAGATCCTCTCCATAGCCTTAACAAAATTTTAACACCGCATCTGCCATGCTACATCCTACCACTCTCTCCAATTTCTAAGCGGTCAAACAGTGCTAAGTGTCCAAACCCTCTTATTCGACCCCAAATAAGAAAACCAGACAGTAGCCGAGGGAGAAGATTCGGAATTATTTAGGACGACAGGAGGATAGGTTGGCGTTCAAATGGGATAGGGAACACTGGTAGGTCCTTTGGCGTGGGGCGGTTGGCCTAGAGACGGTCCTTAGTTGGTCCAGCAAGCGAGAACGGCGATGACATAAGGAGGTATCGGTGAGGCACCGCTCGTTCTTCCAACGGATTGGTTCAGTTATTCAGGTTGTACAGCATAATTTATCGGCCAGAGAATGTCGTATATCCCACAATGGGTGAACAAGACAATAGAGGGGAAGTTAACGGTAAGTACAAAACGGAGACGATTAACTAAGGTAACCAAAGGGTAGGAATTTCGGACAGTTTACTGTTGCAGTTGCGGAGTTAAGGTATCCACGGATGAACTGGTCGCGGCTACCTGTCTGCCAGTAAAAAGGACACGTACTGTCACGCTACAGTCTTCTGCCACCCGCCTTATTCGTCTTCCCTCTCACCAAAGCAACTGTCGGCTGTTACATGGCAACACACTTGGACGTCTAGCATGACAAACCCAAAGTCGGACAAACGGTGTCTACATCACTACGGCTTAGCGGTCTGCAAACATTCCAGTGTTCTAATCGTCCGATTCGTAAACGACTTTTCAAAAAAAGTGTTCTATGCCGCTTGTCAGGGAATGCCGAAGTAATTATTAGTGAAGCTGTCCGTTTTCGCATCCCTAAGTGAAGCAATAGATGTAACAATTGTAGAAATGTTCTTTCCGGTCCCTATAGTTCAGGTAATGAGGGTAAAAAATTTTGACAAGCAGTTTACGCATTCTAAATTATCTGGCACCTAGATTTAGTACGTCTACTCTGACGCCCGGGCGAAAACTTTCGTATAACCGTCTCGCCCAAATCGTGTTGGTCTAGTAATCTTACTATTGTTAACTAACAGTCACGTGCATTTTTGACACAACCAATACGCCACTCCTCAACTAGTGAGGGACGGCTGTCGCCTTATTTTAAGTCATGTTACAGACGATTCGTGTTTTAAAATAATCCGAAGTGGTGGGAGTTACTTCATAGTCCTCCAAGACAGGTCACTGTGAATTGCTGTTGTTTTATTTACGACTTAAGCGTAGAACGTCATGTGTAATTACACTTCTGCACTTTTTTCAAACTATCGTAAAACGGTGCTCAGCCACTCCAGGTAGTACAGACGTTTTAGTGACTCCATCTTACTGACTCCAGTGTTCCAACCGTTCGGTGGCCCTCCTAATTCTCTGTGTTCAATATAAAACCCAGATTATCTAGTTTACATAAGTTCCATCTACAAATGTTGAACATAAGCGAAGTTTGATACAGATGTCAGGACCTTCGCATAACACCAAATCTGAGAGGGCAGTTTCATTTCTTGGTCACAATATACTTTTGGTCCTATCCGGACAAATCCGTGTTTGTCTGGCTGCTTTAACCCTGAAACCTAAGATTTTTGCAAATATCCCAATTACTTATACTTTCTTATGCTTCCAGCATACTGGGTAGAACTTTTTGATACGTTACGCACTGGTAACAACACTAGCCTGTAAAATACCATATTGTCCCCAAACTGCATACATTTCCGCTGCCAGTGAATAACCTTACAGCTGCGGACCTTTTTAATGCTAAGAAGGGAAATTGTGATGTGCCTGAGAAGTACGACCTTCGCCATTTCGCAGTGGGAAGTGCTTAAAAGGAGACACGACCAATGAAACCAAAAACCGCCTCTCCTGCTTCCTAATTACTTTTCAGAATTTTCCTTTTGCTACTATCGCCAAGGGCTTTGACGATGTCGTTTCACAGCACAACTTGTGCGTGGAAAATAACTATTCCTGGAACCCTGGAACCATCTAGTTATTTGATAATCAGATGATCCACACTCAGAATGAAGTTGACTACGTATCCGTTGGAGCCTGCGGGACAGCGCAGTGCCAGACCCCTGTCGTGTGTCGTGCCGACACCAGCAACGGGAACGACTGTGTCTACGTCTTTGTAAGAATCCGAATACGGCTTACGTTAGGTGTGGTCGAAAAGGCGCGGCCTGTGAAGGACTAAAGTATCGAACGTCTCAAGTCTTCTTTCATTGCTATTGGCCTTTTTGGGCTTTTTCCATATGTTTTGCCGTGTTCTCTTTGAAGCCAATTGGCTTTAGGGTGTTTTCAGCCGAAACCGAGGGACTAGAGATAAAGCACACCTTACTTACTAACTTAGAAAACGCTGGGCCACAGTAAGCGTTGCCTCAGTGAATTGATCTCTGGTAAAACTTTCAACCCAGAGATAATGCTGACTGCTTATCTTTATAACGATTCGGACTCCAGGGACTTGCGCCGTAGGGCCACGGGCTCTTTATGCCACGATTGCAACAAACACGAGTCAACCCACCCGTTCTGTTTGATGTGCTTCAACGAACGGTGGTGCCAGGAGGCTGCGCCGAATTTGGATGATGGACGAGCAAATGACTTTTCTGTTTTAACTATCAAGGAAGACCCTAGTTTAGTGACGACGTTCACGTTAAGCATGAAGGTCTGATTTAAAGGGCCTTTTACTTATCTTCCTAATCCCGCCGACCAAGCTCCCTCAGCTGCCGTCCAGTCTAAGGACACCATGGAGCGCAACAATGACTATGACTGCAGTCCGCTGCCTACCGCACACATCCTGGAAACAGTTGGAAATGTGAAGAACATGAAAGCACCGGCAGGGCCCTGTAGCAATTACCGGCATGTCGCATTGTCTTTGCATCGGAATTTGGTAGAGAGGAAGCGTACTCACAAACTGGTGTGATGTCGCCCTTATGCCAACATTCAGGAAAGGTGACGGACCACTGTGACAGAAGTACCGCGGCATATGCCTCCTCAACACTGAGGCTGAAGTCTTCATAGCAGTTCTTATCAGTGACCCGTGCATATGCTTAGACGACCTAAGAACAAATGATAAGTGAGTCTTTCGACCGCCTCCCTGAATACTTCACTTGTTATGAGTTGCTCAATCTCATCCACTTCCCTGGTTTTGCTTCACGTCGGACTATTCATCATGCAGCGCAATGACATGCGGCCAAAATTACTCTGCTCAGATCGAGCCTGCCATCGTAGAACAAAGTCCAAAGTTGCCAAAAGAAGCGAAGAGACGAGTCCCAGGAAGCAGTCGTGAAGAAGGAGACACGATCGCTGGAATCAGAGCTTTATTTGCCTGACGTTTCGGATTCCTTCTCAAATCCATCATCAGAAACAATAGCAGATACGAGCGGTTCATGTACAAGGGGCTGCAGTATTTATAGGATGCAGTCGCAATGCTACCGCATATCGATGAAAATTCACGACTCTCCCCTTCATCAGGGATTGTTGCACTTGATGTGATGACTGCTTGAAAGCCGACATTCGCGTCGTTGATTATTGCAATTTCATCATCAATGTTGGTTGTTGGTGTGATGATTAATCGACCAGCTGACTCACCGACTCTGGAGTTGGGAATAGTGTTCGCCTGTGCGCTCCTCGCGTTCCTACTTACTCCGCCTAGGCGTAGTCTCAGCATCGAGTATGGAAGGGGAAGGTCACTGCACTTGTTAGTAGACTGGGGGCCAGTAAACCATGACTCAAGCAACTGGCGGCTTACGCGGTTGTCATCTCTGGCGGGAATTTTGGCCTCGTAAAATTTAAATGTGCGGCCGGATCTCGTCGAATTGTCCGCAACCTGAGAGCTGGAGTCATTTCTCTGCGCTACTGCCGCGTGTTCGGCCATTCTCGTTCGCAGCAGTCTTCCGGTCTGTCTGACGTAGTTGCTTTGTCCGCAACTTACCGGATCCAATCAACGACTCCAGACGTTTCCTGCCGTGGCAGTGGGTCTTTTGGTTTCATCACCTGACGCCTGATAGTTGTCCTGGTCTGTGTACAATTCCAATCCCAAGTGGTGCGAGAAGGCGACCGACAGCTTCCGAAACTTTACTGGCACACGGAAGCAATAGCCAAAATGTGGGGTCCATGCGGTTTGGCCTTTTGTCCCTTTTGCGTATGCACCGCTTGACGAAGTTGCGCGGACAGCCATTGGCTTTGAACACCCATCGAAGGTATTGCAGTTTGGCAATCTTACCTTCCAGCTCACTGCACTGCGCTTCAACACGCCGATAGAGCAGCCTTACACAACTGCGTTTGTGGCTGATTGGGTGGTTGCTGTTAACGTTATGTACCTGCATCCTATTTGTCGCTTTGCCGAACACTTTGGTCTTAAGACCACCAAAATCTTTGTGAAATACGAGGACATCCAGGAAGGCCAGCTGGTTGTTCTTTTTCTCCTCCATCGTAAATTGTATGTCCGGGAAGACCAACTTGAGACGTTATTTGAATGTCAGCAGTTGATTCCGGTCGATAACGACGAGGGTATCGTCCACATACCAGGTCCAGAACTTCGGTCTGTGGCTCTAACCGTTGCAGGACCGCTTCGGTGATGAATCCCGAAGTTCGTAAATTCCAAATCTTGGATATGCCGACGATTTTTCGATGCTAGCGAACTTTACGAGAACACAGTTTGCGTTGTCTCAGATAGACACAGGCGCAGCTGGTGATTCCGAGCATCAAGTTACTTTATACGAATACGGCCGCCCCTAAATTACTTGTTGGAAATTTATGCCCGGCTAGGGTCAGCTTTACAACTCGGGCCACTTGGACTCATCTGCCACTGAAGTTTGGATTTTCTCCCAAACGGGCAGTGCGGAGATGACATGAATCATCTCATAAACCAGGCGCACGGCCTTGATCGGACTTTGTCGAGACCATTGGAGCCGCAATGATAACTGTCTGATAACCGGCTGT